TCCAGGACTCGAACTGCAGTTGACTACATGGGAGTCCAGTGACATAGCCATTATGCCAACTGCTGATCCCCTAAAGAAATACTTTACATGAGAAAACTTTTAAAATTTATACCTATTACATCATGGTGGACACAATTTTACTTCTCTTTCAAAAATAAACTAATAATTCTAGAGTGTTTCATCAGGATGCGGGAGATAGCCAGAGCACAGAAATAAAAGAGAAAGACTTAGGAGTTGGAGAGAATAACGAAATTAGAAGGGATCTTTGATATTCCCATTCAATAATTTGTATTTTGAGAGAGCTGTCGGCCCTGAGTCATTTTGCTGATGGCTGCACAGCTTCTGAGTGTCCACAGGACACCATACATCGTCACCACAATGTGTGCCTGTTCAGCTAGTGCTCTCTGTCCCCAGGTGTGCTCTGACGCTTGTCTTACTCTTACTTTGGCACAACAGCTGGAACATTGGCAAGACAAAGAACCTCGAATCATAGGAGAGAGCTGGTAGTGATGTTAAAGCAGCCGGAGAGCCCCTGGGAAGAAATGACACTCAAAGAGAAATTAAAGTTACAAAATAGGCGAAATAATGGGAAGTGCAGATGTTTGTGTTGGTCAAGTATAAGGAAAACAATTTTCCACATTCAAGAGCCCTCCAGAGTCCTGTACTGTGTGGCTCATTATTCAATAGTCTAGTTACAATGTTCAGCAACACTGTCGCTAAAGCAGCCAAGTCCCTGGTCCACAGAGTGTATGGGAGAACTCAGATAGGAAACAGGTAGACAAATACATATTTCTAAATGCTCTGGACAGAAATGAAGCAGGGCTGGGGGATAAAGAAAGCTAGGGGGCTGCCTTGGACATGGCAGTCAGATTACCTTTTTGATAATCATAAATCTGAGTAAAGAACAAAAATATTGCTCACTACGATGGCTTTGGATCATTAAGAAAAGGTTTTAAATGTGTGCTATATTTTAGAAAGATGTTCATGAAAACCATTTAAAATGTTTTCACAGAAAGTGTTCCAGTGATTAAAGGGAATGGGGTCTCATTATAGTTATAAATTTTACTTCCATGTCACACCATGAATCCTGGTAAGAGCTGGATGAATGTGAACACGTTGTGCTTTTCTTTATAATAATATGCTAGTTTATTTATTAAAAAAGTTCATTACCAGAGCGTATGTGCCTCTGATGGAGGTGGGGGTGGGGAGAGAGAGAGAGAAAGTACTTCTTGATGGGGTATGATCATACTGCAATCTCTTCTCCTCTATTTCTTTGTCTTGTGAAGATTTTGGGCATGCACACATGAACCCAGAATGATTTTCAAGTCAACAGGGCTGGGACTCCAACCATAGCTGTCCATGTGGGATCTGGCTCCTTATGCACTGTGCTTAACCACCGTGCTATGGGGCCCACTCACTGTGCATTTTAATTTTTACTGAAGCCACAGAATTCAAGAGTTATAAAAAAGATGCCAGTGACTAATAACTCAGGCGTATTAAAACACTTTATATTTCTTTTTAAATAATAGTGAAATGACAGATAAGCTTCTGGGGGGGTGGTCTAATTTATGGGGCACAGAATCTGCTTTATAATTCTCACAGATAGGTTGTCTGTTAGTCATAAACATTCCCCTCATTTCAAGTCTTTTACAATTTCTCGAATCAAGAATGTTATTTGTTGTTGAAGCCATAACAATCAATTGCCATTTCAAAAGGCCACCGAGCCTCATTTACTACTTCAATTCAGTGTTAAGAGAGAACATTTGGTAATTTCTAATCTTGTTCTCTGTTCTTTTTATTTCACTATACAAACAAATGTCAAGCTATTTGCTTCCTTTTTTTTTTTTTTGAGCAGTGTAGAAAAAAAATCAATATCTATTCTTAATCCATATCAAGACTTTCATGACGTAACTATTAAATGCAGGTATCTGGAATGTTTCACTTTTCTTGATGTATTCCTAGTCGTATTCCACTATGTTTTTCATTGCTCTCATTTGTACGACAAACCTTTACTGCATGCCTACTATGTGTCAGGCAAACTCCTTGACCTCATGGAAACCACATCAGTCATGCTCTCACCCAGTAAAGTGTCATGACAGAGAAGTGTGGGCTGCTTAGGGAGAGCTCCTGAGGATTTGAGAGTGTCAGGAAGGCTTCTTGAAGAAAAAACCATCTACGCTGATGGTGTTTTAGTCACAAAAAATGCGAAGAGAAAGAAGAAGTGTATTCTAGGCTGAGTAAAGGACACATGGAAGGGTGGATGTTTCTGGGTGATTTGAGAGAAAGCAGGTTAATGAGACTTCCAGAATGGCTGGAGTGAAGAGTTTCCCAGGGCAGATGACTACCAGGAGCTGACGTTGAAAAAGTAAGCGAGACCCAGATTTGACAGGCCTTTGTATTTTAGGACAGCATGAAGTAACAGAGGTTTCCTGCCAGTGGGGAATAGCATGATCAGAGGTGAATTTTAGAAACACAACTCTGGCTACAGTGTGGAAAACATGTTAATTAGAAGGAAAAACAAGAGACCAGTAAGAGGAGAGGCAAGGGCAGAAATACTGCTAAGAAAGGCTGGCCTGGAGGAGGGTGCTGGCAGAGGGCCTGGAGAGAAGCAGAAATTCATGAGATACTTGAGAGGCAGATTTTTGGATGTGAAAGATGAGAGAGAAGAGTCAGGATAATATTTAGATTACTGGCTTGTTAAATTAGTTGGTCATTCACAAAAGACCATATATTGTGTGAGCCTATTTATATAACATGTCCAGGATATGCAATTCTATAGAGCTGGTGATTAGTATAATTAGTGATTACATGGGGCTAGGGGTGGAGGTTTGGGGGTGACTGCTAATGGGCTCAGAATTTCTTTTCTTTTGGAGGTGAAAATGTTGTAATATTGGTTGTGGTGCTATTGTATGAAAAATCACTTAATTGTTAAGTGTGCGAATTGCGTGGCTTGTGACTTATATTTTAAGAAAGTTGTGTACGTGTGCGTGTGTGTGTAAACTCCTATAAATAAGAGTTTTTCAAATAGATCTTGAAAATTTATATTATGAAAAAAATCAATGCATCAATTTCAAATTTTTGCATCAAACTAATCTCATACTTTATATTTTTCCATGAACTTTTTAAAGTTTCTTCATCTATGTAAAAATACGTAGAAAAGAGATGAGAAAGTTTGATATTTGAGTCTCAGCCAGAGATAAGAACTCGGAAATCAGTAGTAATTGAAATCATGGCAGTTGGTAAGACCGTCCAAAGGAAATGAGAGTAGGCAAGAATGTAAGATCGAATCCTAGACAACATCAGAGGGAGAGGAGCCTTGTGAAGAAATGGACAAGAATTCACCAGAGAGAAGGTTAAGGACTAGTAAGAAACTGTGTAACTTGGAAGTCAAGAGCAAGGTTCATTGTCTCCCCAAGGGGTGGGACATGTATTTTTAACTAATTTTCTGGGTTTCTACACATTGGGTTCTGCAGGGCATGGAGAAGTGCTGCTCTCTTCCTGAGGCAGGGGGTAAAAGGGTGAGAAAGTACTGGAAACAGAGAGGCCAACAGATCCAAAGGACCGAGCAGCCAGTAGAACATTGCCCACTGGCAGAGTGTCAGGCGTTAACTTTAAGCTAGTGGATTTGGGAGGCCAGGAGATGAGGAAGGCCTTGGAAGCAATCTGGACTTCATGCTGAAGGAACTGCTGAAGCATTCAAGTGACTATCGAGGGAGGAACTTGATCCAAATTCTGGTGTAGAGACATTTTCTGGTGAGGGTGCAGAGGATGAGGTTTGAAGCACTTGGGCAAGGACTGATATAAGCCAGGTGATGATGGTCTGAAGGTGGCAGTTGCTGTGAGGTTAGAGGACGGAGATGAACTGGAGCAAGATTTGGCAGGTAGATACCAGAATTAGGGCAGCTGACTGGATGAGAGAGAGGGCAAGATCCAGGTTGACTCCTGCTTCCTGGGTTAGGAAACCAAGTAGAGGACCTGGCATTCATGGAGAGCAGGAAT